GCATCCTGGCTGCCCTCACCTCCACTCCTCCATCCTCTCCCCGGCTTCCAGCCTATCRCAGCAGAGGAAGGAGTGGCTTCCCACCACAGGAAGGATGGACAGAGCTTGTTGAGAGAGGAGGAGATGAGAGTGTTCGGAGAAAAGAGGTGCTGTATCTTGTTCCTGGGCTACTTGGAGAATGCATGACAAACCCGTGGCGCAGAGAGACTGGGATTAATAATAATAATAATAATGCTAATTAAAAAAACATTCAGAGAGACGTGGAGGAGGATGTTTTAGTTCGTAGCTCCACCTGGCCGTCTCTCCGCTCCGGCCGCAGGTGCGCTGCATCCTCCCTGAAGAGAGTTGCCTTGGATTATTTCTCACCCTCTGCTTGTTTCCCAAAGCAAAACTGGCTCAGCCATCGCGCCCCAATCCTGTCGGAACTCTTCTTCTGGCTCAAAAAACAAAACAAGCCTCATTCGGAGCTTTGTAAATTCGCGCACTGCTCCCTCAGACTGGCTCTGAACGCGGATTACTTTCTGCTCTGAAAGGAGAAATCTCCTCCCCTCCCATCCGCGGGCTCCAAAACTTGAGTGCTGACTGCTTCATCTTTGTTTTTCATAGCTCAACAAGAGGACAATGTCTGGATTAATAATGCAGCCGTCGCTTCACGCGCCCCCGTGCAAAGGGGAAGAGTGAGGAGAGGGAAGAAGAGCTGACTGGGAGGAGGTGGCGGGTTTTTTTTCTTCCTTTTTGGCTGCAGTCCACTTGTTCTTTGGCGCATTTGCTCTCCGATCTCTCTTCACTGGATTCACCGACCGACGGCTCAGGAAGACGCGCGGGGAGGACTGCGTTCACACCCTGGGTGAGTTTTGGATTCTCAAATTGTGAGTTACGTTTGGGGCGGGTGGTAATACGAACCGGGTCGCTGCTGTGCGTTTTATCTTATTTTATTTAGTGGGTTTTTTTTTTGTGCCATTCGCGTCTTTACGCGCGGCGCGCCGTTTGGGTAGATGTGCACGAGACCAGGCTGAATCTGGACGGTCAGTGACGCATGATCCATCATGGAGACTGAAAAACAGAGGCRGCAGACGGGCTTTTTAATTTGCATGGATCTCATGAAAGACTCGTTTGGCTGTTTCAGCACCACGAAGGTTACCCTGAAACCCTCAGCAGAATGTTGCGCAAAATTAAACTCTTAGAACTTTTAGACGCAACCACTTTATTCAGAGAGTCTCTGCAGGTGTTTGTGTGCTCAGGTAAAAGTTTTTGCACATAATGTGCACTTTACAGTAAATACTTTCCTCATTCTGTTCGTGCTCTGGACACGTGTGATCCTCTAACTTCACAACACAATCATTTGTGTCACGCGCATCKTGTAGTCCCATCCAATCTTCAGGTTGAATCTGACTTGTCCGTCAATCTTTTTTTTTTTTTTTTGCTTTATCTCAGCATCGTGTGTGTGCTCCTCCTGTCTTA